TAATCTAATCTCACGTGAAACCCAACCCCCCTTTCTCTCTCTCTCTCTCTCTCTGTCTAGATATATATATATATATATATATTGTATATTTATCAAATTTCCTGCCTCCCCATTAAAAAATTGATAACAGTATTTATTCATTAATTCATACCCTTATGTATAAATCAGTGTTTTTATAGCGTATATGTCCTAGAGGAAGTATCGGTTTAATCTTTGTTTAGACAATTCAACGTTACAAGTTTACTTGTAAACACCGTTAGTTACACATAATTCCTTAAAACCTTGTAAAGTCACTACATTATATATATTAGTTGCACGTATGCGTGCGCGCGCACACACACACACATATATATGCAAACTACTCACTACATTGTAAAGTCGATCATCTATATTTTATAAAAGTGCAAACCGTGTAGCTAGCGGAAGTCTTAACATTTAAATACAGAGACTTTGGATCATGTGAAATCAGACTGTTTTCGTGAGACCCTTGAGACCACGTAATTAGCATTGAAACTCCACAGCAGAACATTGTGAATGTAAACCTTCATAGTGTTTTTGGTGTAAAAGTTCGAATTTTTCCGTACCTTCACAATGTATTGCTATGAAGTTTCAGTGTTATTTTGTGGTCTTACAGATCTCACGAAAACATGCTAGTCTCATGTGAATCCAACCCTAGGGGGTCATTGAAGGGAGAACTCGGTAATTTGTGATAACCATGAGATCCGATCTCAAACACAAATCAAAGGTTAAATTAAGAAATTAATAATTTTGGTAATTTTAACTTAAAATATTAATTAAGAGCATTTTAAGGATTTTAAAAATCTCTTCTCTCCTCTCTCCGATGAACCTTACGTTAATACAAGATGCACATTGTGATACTTTTATAAAATAACAAAAATACACAATGTGACACCCTTTGTAAAGCAACAAAAATAACAAAAATTGCACGATCTGGTACACATCATAAAATGACGAAAATACATTGTGATACACGTGGTGATAGATTGTGAACATGATCACTATGATACACTTTAATCCACAAACATCTTTAAAAGACAATATATGTCAGGTTATAATATATTAGGTAATAAATTTTTACATTGTGAATCAAATACATATGAAACAATTGCAAATTTTGGAGTTCTCAAATGATTAAGCTCATACATATCAGTTCATCTTATAGTTTGACTCAGATGGGGCACTACTCATCCATTGTCAATCACCAACTCCTTTCTTATCATGCTAATATGATTTAAAACAAGTACAACATAATGCATATATAACCCAATAAATAACATTATATACATTTCCCGAACATATAACATAAACACGGTAATATGTCAATTACAAACCCACGGTGCCATAACGCAGTAACATAGATCCATAGTGGCACCATGGTCGTGCCATTTCTCCTCCTTGGTTATGAAAGAACTGTTCTTGCATCCACACAGTGCTCCATGGCCCTACAGCTCTCTGGGTCGTGCTCAAACTTCCTGTTTCGACTTATTTCACTGGTTCATCTCAAATTTCTACTACGTTACGCAAAATGACTCCAAACTTCTTACACTGTAACATACATATCATACGCTTTGACCATTAAATCATACATGCTTTCATAACCTAATTACCACCAAATTTCAAGATTTAGATAACATGTCATCAATCATGGATATTCCATTATCACCCCAACCATACTTTCTAACCACAATGTTAAATTCTTACCAACTTTGTACCAAAAAGTCCTAAACATGACATAAGACAAAAATGGAAGTAAATTTCAATATTGCAGATGAATTCTTACATTGAATTCGGATTCTTGACTCTATATTCTTTGCCTCAATTAAGGTAACAATCCCTTAATTGCGCAATAAGCTCTTATTGCCTTCTCCCAAAGTTCTTCTGAACGAAAACCCGTCAAAAACCTGTTATAATTCCCAAGTTTCAGTGTTTGCCAAGTTAATCCATGAGCTCCGTCTTTTCCAGATTGCCACAATTTACTACTTGTTTTATACACGAAATAGGTGTTACATTATTGGGGATCGTCTAAGGGGTAGTTTGACCAAACGTTTAACAGTTAAGCGTTTATCGGATGTCACTTACCTTACCTGGTGAACATGGTACCCAAAAATCTTACTCGGTAAGAGACATAATAAAGATCGATAATCTTACCCGATAATGAGGAAGAAGACTCTTACTCGGTTAACACTTATCATATAAGAAACGTTTGCCAACAGTCCATTTGGATTGCCCGTAATGTTTTTTTTTAACTATATAATATTTATATACGACAAATAAACTCACACCTCCTCCTCACATTTGGTGAGGTGAGAACCCTTAACCTCCTAAGAAGTCAAAGACTCACATACCGCTAGGTCAAAAACCTTCTACAATGTTATTCAACAACATAAATAAAAGTAATGACTCTTGTCGATAAACATTTACCCAATAAACAGCCAAGACTCTTAATAGTTTAAAATCACATAAATAAATTAATATTATTGCTTTGGATCCATAAACCTGAGCTATTTTGTTTTTTTATTGAATAAAGTTGTTTTAATAGCTTTTTATATTAATATTACTTTTTATTATTATTATTATAACCGTTACGAATAAATTGTTATTAATTATTCATTTGGATAAACATATATAATATATCTCTATTTTCTTTATTAAATTAATCTTATTAAATATGAAATGTTGAATTGTTTATGAGATGATGGAGAAATTAATTTGAAATGGCAAATTTATATCAAGATTATAAAATATAATCTTACACTATTTCTTTCTATTTTTTTGAAAAACCGTTCGTAACTGATTCTTTCTTTCTTTTCGCAATCAACGGATTGTTCATGTATCAGTAAACTTATAGGCTGATTACTAGATTCTTATTGGACGAGTAATTACTGGAAAACGTCACCGTTTTACTTACCTTATTGGATAACATTTCTAATCATCAAAAGAATTGTTTATAAGTAAAGGTAAGGGGTTGTTTACCAAATTTTTTTATTAAGTCTTGTATGGATAAATTTGTATGTCTAGATAAATGGGTGTTGTTGTTTACTTGTTTTATTTGAATCAACGGTATAAATAACATAAATGACCGATTTAACCCCCCTCCCATATTAATTATTTGAATATCAAAATAACAAAAATCATAAAGAGGCCGAAGATGGGGTGTCTCATATGGGAAGGAGACGGTGTTTTAAATAAGGGGTAGGAGTGTCATTTTTGTGGCTGAATGGGGACAACACATCATTTCTATCTGTACGATTAAGCCATGTTCTGTGCGAATAAGCCGTAAGTAAACAACCCAAATGAGCTGTGCGAATAAGCCAGATAGACCAATAAGCCTAATTAAGCCGCAAGTAAACAACCCCTAAGTGTTTACTGGGTAAAAGTTTTCTTCTTATTGGGTTGTTATGAATCTTACCGGATAAGATTTTTGGTTCTTTCCATGCTCACACCGATAAAGTAAATGGCTTTTGGTAAGCACTTACCCAATAAGAGTTTGATAGACAACCCCCTTATATATTTTGATTATTAATATTTAATCTCATTAATTTCTATTATCTTTTAGTTCGTCTTGGATGATAAACGCTAAATTTGAGTCTTCTTTTTTTACAAACCCAATAATTTGTACAAGCTTATAATTAAACCAATTTTTATATGTTGTTTCATATATAAGACAACACATATGAAACTGTTGTTTATAGAGTATTAAACTGTTTTTTTCACAGATGAAACAATTATGAATGTTTAACATACAAAATAAGATATGAAACAACACTGTATAAACATCATCTGCATATTTGAATGTGTTAATTCATATAAAAGATAGTTTTTGAATTCATAGATATTTATCGGGTTTGTAAATTACTATACACATAAATGAGTAAACCTGAACAAAGTGAATGTAACTTCTTCTTCCTTGTGACTTTACACCATATTAACTTAATCATTAAGATGACTGAATGTTTTTCAAACAATTTGGATTGGAGAAGACTTGATCATTTTTCCAACTTATTGATATATATAATATATATATATATATATATATATTGTAATAAATTAATGTTATATAATCTAATTTCTTATATAAACATGTTTACTTGAAATCGTTCGACTTTTATTAGTTGATTAGGTAGAAAAAAACGAGAGAATCAATACAAAAATTATAAACAAATTTATTATCGTGGAAAAGTTCAAACTTTTATATAGTTAAATATTATAAACAACTTCAATAATTATATCGATTAATACTCTGTATTGTTCTTTTGCTATATTTAAGTTTCACATCCATCGTCAATGCGAGAAAATATAGAAATCAATATTAAAAGATACAGGTCTTTGGTAAAAGAATTGAGATAGTGATCGATTAATATTACATCGAGTTTATATATATATATATATATATATATATATACACACACACAACTAATGACATGTTTCTAGTCAACGATTCTTCGAAGATAAGTAAGAACATGTACAACAATTACGTCAATCGATCATCATGCCAATGTATATGAGTAAGCCGAACAATCAAGTGTATTATAATTGATATGGGTTTCTTCGATCGTCAATTGTTAGTTTGATTGGTCTTTTTTCTACGACGTGAAACGCCCTTTCAAGATTTACGCTTCTTGTACGTGTTGTATTCGTTTGTGATCAAGAACAACTTGTTATTGACGATAAAATTGATTAATTAATCGTTTATTTAATATATAATCTAATAAAAATGGTTGATTAATTGAAGACATAAACATATAAAATAACCCAACAACACATTTTCTTTGGATTTGAGCATACAAATTGAAACAAAAATCACAAGCAAAATATGCAAATTTAAACCCTCATATTAATAATTTAATTATATTTTATTATTAATTTTAATTATAATTTTCTTACATATCTAAAATAAATTTAACTAATTTATATTTGTAATTAATTAATAATGCATATTAATTAATTAATACATTTTATAATATTGTTTTTTAACTTTTAAAATTACCTTAATTTCTCTAGCTAGTATGGAGGTCGGCCATGAGGCCAACCAAAAGCTTCATGGTTCAACTGTCCACCTCCATTTGGGATCAAATTGGGCTGCAGATTGTAACCCGGCATCGGATCAGCCATCCCCAGCTGCGGTGGTGATCCACCGCCACCACCACCACCTAGCCCAGGCGCCACACTGTCACCCTCCTCCTCTTCCTCCACCGGAAGCCTCTCATAGGTGGCGTTGGAAAACGTGGCGGCAATAACCATGACAGGTCCTGATGCTATCAACGACCCCACCACACTCCCGCCGACGACTTGCCCCTGACCACCGGCAAGGTAGATAGTGAGGCCGGTGGCTCCAGGTGGGGCAGGACCAGGAAGAAACGCACCGGTGAGAGATAGAATCTCGAACCGGCCTTGTAAAGCCATGACTGAACCAGGTGCTGATGGCTGTCTTAGGGTTACATTCATGACTGTTCCACTAGCACTCATCACACAAACACCCCTCTGTCGTTTCCGACTGAACTGAGCTATGCTTTCAGCTATATCCGTTCCACTCGCCACCTCCATGACGTGGCTACGGAGGGCGTTGGGGCTGTCTCTGGTCACGAAAATCGGTGGCTTCGGTTTGTTTTTGGATCCGGGTGGTCTGCCCCTGGGGCGTCTGTTAGAAGGGTCGATTGCACCTTCTCTTGGATCATCACTGTTGTTGTCCCTTTCATCTTCTTCACTTCCAGTACCAGTGGTGTTGTCGTTCATGGAGATTCCCAGATCTGGTTTCTTGAGTGCCGGAGAACCGCCGCCGGAAGATGTTTCAACACCGGCCACGTTGACTTGTCCTGCCCACCATCGGTTCGACATGATCTTGATCGGAGCTTTCACTCTCAAACGAACCCTAATGAAAGAGTTTGGTGATCAGATGAGAGATAGAAATGAAAAGCAGTTGAAAGTTGAGGTTTGAGAAATCTCTTTGGTACTTTCTGTGCATCCGTTTGGTGGGTGTGGATGTATCTATCAAAGGGTTTATATTATACCACAAGTCTCTCTCTCCCTCTCTCTCTCTCTCCATATATATATATATATTCTCCATAATTATACATATATACATACGTATGTATAGATTTGGGATCACGTAAAGCCAGCCTGTTTTCATGAGATCATCTTCTATATTGATTCATAGTATTTTTTGCTATAAATGTTCGATTTTTTACCTTTACAAAATTTTACTATAAAGTTTGAAGCGTAAAAAAAAATGATATCACTGTTATCACGTAAACCCTGAAAGACTTTCTTTAGGTTTTGGTGGGACAAGATTTTGTAAGAGAATCTCCTTCAATAATTTTCTCAAATAGTAAAAAAAAAATGCAAAAAAAATTAAAAATTAATCATTTAAATCCAAATGTTTTTTAATTATTATTTAATTATATTTATCAAATTTTAAAATACATTTAACATTTGTTCTATAAAATGTTGATCATATGTTGTTTCTTAATCCAAAATCAGCACATTTTTTCTCTAATATTTTCTTCCCTCTTTATTTATGGATATTTTTTTTCTCCTCTCCAATTAATTCTTGATTTTAAAGAATGTTTTCAAGATTCGTCGAAGCGAAATAAATATACGACTACCCATAAAATTTCCATTTATGAAGATCCGGGTTGGAAACGATTTTCCATGAAATCTCCGGAATTAAAACGAAAAAGCAGAAATCTTCAAGAAAATAACTTACGTTCAACTCCCACAGTTTTTTTCATTTATTGGTATTCCAACATTGATATCATATCGTTAAAACATTGAATAGCAAAATAGTTAATAGTTATCCTTTTCTTCTCTTCCTGATCCGTTCAATGACTTTTTTGATTCGTTTGGGCGTTTTTTTATGTAGAACGATTAAAAAATCATTCTTTCTCTCTTTTTCCATTAATACTAAAAGGTTCATATTTGTAAAAAAAAAATCCGATCTTTTTTACTTTATCAGTTTTGTAGAAAGTTTTGAATCCGATTTGGATGAAAATTGGAGATGCTCTAATTTTTTATTTATCTCGCTAATCTCTCTATTTCTGTATATGTTCAATGCATTAGAATGTAAGATTTTTTTTTAAAACGAAATTGAAAAATTAATGCAACTTTTTATTAAAACGAAACAATTAGTTGTTTACCAAATGTGAGGAGGGTGCGTGAGTTTATTTGTTCTTTTTGTCGTATATATAAATATTATATACTTAAAAAAACCCAGAAAAAATAAATAGATATGAATGTAAAATTAAATATTATCATAAATTATCATCTAAATTTTTGGTATAACTTGTTAATTAAAAATAATAAATTAAATTTTATATTTAAACAAAGTAGAAATTACATGTCGTTCATATATCTTTCTGTAAGTCGAAAATCTGATAAAGAACTGAAAGAAAAACATCGGTATATGAGCACGAAATTAAAGATTATAAAAAGTATGTCCATCCGAATTTAATGTTTAAACAAAATAGAAATTATAAACGATAGTTAAGCATATTTGCTAATTTGATAACGGGTTAAAAACCCTAAAAATATATATTATTAATATATGAGTCTCAAATTAAATATTTTAAATTTCTTGTTTTTTTTGTCACAATTTGTCTATCTCAAATTTAAATCATAATTTTTTAAATATTTTAAATTTAAAAATAAAAATGTAATATATTTTAGTGTTATTGTGCTAGTGATAAAATGTTTTTAAAATAGAGATAGGACACAAAATATTATTACATGATTATTAGTTAGTTTTATAATGTTTAAAGAGTTTGAGTGACTTAAACACATAATGTAGTTATATGTACTACTAAGTTTAGAGAATATGCATTAATCAATATATAGTGCTGGTTGATTCAGATAAAAAGATTAAATATTATGAGAATGTAAGAAATTTAGTATAAGTGAAAGTTCATATATAAATTATTGGGAAAAAATCCATTTAAAGATGTATAAAAGTTAGAGACTGTTTAGCAGTTGTTGAATGGTTTAGTGTAGAATGATTAAGTGATCAGAATGGTAAAGATGCTCTTATGATGTAGTGCAAAATAAAATATAATTGTTTGGTAATTGTTCAGAATGAAATTTGGGTGCTGAATGGTTAAGGAAGACCCAAGATACAAAATCATTCAGAGAGTTTTAGAATCATTAAGAGGCAGACTTTTTTTTTGCCAAACAAGATTCATCTTTTAGTAATTTAGATGTTGTCTCTTAAGGATGCATTTGGTACATGGGACATGACAAGACAGGACGGGACAAAACTCATTGTCCTACGTTTGGTGCAACATGGGATAGGTTTGGCACGACATGGGACAGTGACAAGAACTGGGACAAGGTGAGGTAACATGGGAGAAAAGAGGGTTTTTCTTGTTGCACCAAAATACATGGAACAAGATGAGACAATAATGAGACAAAAACTAAAATATTACTAATCTACCCTAGTTTGATATATAACCTTAATATGATATTTGTTTTAATGATCATCACCGCTAGTTGTCCCGCCGCCGCCACCACCGGCGGTCACTGACGGCCACCTCCACCTCCACCTCCACCTCCACCTCCACCTCCTCTTCCACTGCAACAACATCATCCACTGCATCCACAACCACCGTCCACCAAGTCCATCCTCACCTCTACCATAGTCGATCACTGACCACCACCATCTATTGCCACTACCACTACCGTTGTTTGCCACCTCCAACTCCTCCTCTACTACAACAACCTCTTTCATTACCGTCCATTGCTACCTTTACAACCACCATCGGCCACCGGCCACCACCACCCATTACCACCAACAGTACCACCGTTGGCCACCTCCAATTCCAACTATACCGCAACAACCTCCTACATGACCTCCACAACCACCGTCGACCATCGACCATCACCATCCATTGCCACCTCTACAACCACCACCGTCCATTTCCACCTCTACAACCACCACCGTCCATTTCCACCTCTACAACCACCACCGACCACCACCGTCCATTGCCACCACCACTACCACCGTTGGCCACCTTCAATTCCTCCTCTACTACAACAACCTCCTCCACGACCTCCACAACCACCATCAGCCACCACCATTCATTGTCACCTCATCTCCACCATAACCACCACCACCACTATCTTCACTACATCAGCCACAACTACTTCCTCCACCATTGTCAACCACCACCACTACCACAATCCATCATCTTCATGTCATCTATAACCATCATCATCCACCAACCGCCACTGCCTCTACTTCCATAACCACCACCGCCCATTGCCACTACTATCTTCAGCCACCACCACCTCCACCATAACCAAAACCATTTCCATCACCACTACTACCATCATTTATATCAAAATTTTCATTCAAATTTGATATCATTATATATGTATGTATTCATTTATATGAAAATTGTGTACAATTATTTATAAATTAAAATTTTTAATTAGTTACTTTATTTGTGGTAACTATAACTATTATATAATATTTAAAATCCTCAAATAACTTCTGGGGTAGCTTGTCTAGTTTTGTCCCGTCTAGTCCTAGTCGAACCAAACACCAGACATACTCTTGTTCTGTCTCATCCAGTTCTGTCCAATCCTACCCTCTTGTCTTGTCCAGTCCTGTCCAGTTCTGTCATGTCTAACCATGTCTGCGTATCAAACACTATATAATGGAACTATTAAGAGATAAACAACATCCTCTTAATCCATATGAATAATTTGTAAGATCGATGCATTTATGCATATTCAAAAAATCTTTTTTCCCAAAGTTTTCAGTTATTTACATATAAACATTTTATTCTTATATTCTCACATTATTTAATTTTATTATCCAAAACCTCACACACACACACACATATATATATATATACATATATATGTATATGTATGTGTATATATATACCCCAATAATATATACATGACCAACCACATAAACCTGTCCTTGCAAAGAGTTGGATTATTGTTTAAAAATCAATGAAGTGATTACTTAAATTAAATAAAAAATATCCACATGTTTGATGGCTCACACAATAAATAAATAAATAATAAAGTGGTTAACTAATTTTACAATAAATTAGTTTTGTTAATCAATTGTTATTTAAATTGCTATTTATTTATTTATTAGGTGAATTGTAGTTTTGGCGCATGTGGTTTTTATGAATTTTATAAATTTCGTTCCTAAAACGTATTAAGTATGGATTTGGATCATATGGTTACCAATCTATTATACTTTGGGTCCTTGTACTCACACAATTAAGACATTTATGTTTAAGTTAACACTAAACACCCTCCCTCTCAGTAGTCTCGTCGATCGCTCGTCACACACTGTCTCTTTCTTGCTAATAAATGTATGCACAACTTTCGTATCGGATATCTAGCTAAGATCTCTTCTATTCCGACAACTTATGTGTCTTTTTGGCTGGTACTTATGTTCACTCGTTTTTCTTACACACCCAAATTAATACGGTGTTCTGTAAATCATATGAGTTAAATTGAAGAAAAGAATAGTTTTGAAACCACCTTGTTCACAAGGTTTTCAAAAAAAAAAGTTATATGATCAGATTAAAGAAACCCCGAATTAATACGGAAAACTACTATGATCAAGTCACTAGTAGAGGTGGTGACTGTAAATTCATGGTGGTTCTTCAAGGTTTTTGACTTATCCTTTGGTTTTCTTCTCGTCGGAAGAAGCTCACCTGGAAGTTGTACTCGAGTAGCTGCAAGAAGCGAAGGGAAGTGTTTACGAACGGGAGAAGGGGCAAGGGTTCATCGCAAAAGGCTGGTTGGGGTGGGGCTTACAGGAGAAAAGGAAGGGGGTTGCTTTGGGTCGTTCTTGGGAGGGCGGGCTGAGTGAACACCCAAGGCCTACATTACAACAAAATCAGGTTTATAGGACGCTCCCAATTTCTAAGCGTCCTAATA